GTGGTGGGCGTTTGGGTCGGTATGTGGTAGCTTGATAGGGCCCTTACAAGCGTACCATCCTAGGAAAAGGCGCTACTCAGGGCCACGGAATTCTGTTCTGCCAGGCGTATTAACCCTACTCGTCTTTAGGGATTTATCGTGTCAGCTGCCTTTAACAGGTCTGACCAAAGTTGAACACCTTAGCAGTCATGAACTAACAAAAAGAAAAGCGAAAATGCAAAATGATCCCCCAAGCCAACAGCGCTCGAGCTGGCCCCTCTACGGGATGCCTGATATGTAATGACAATTTTGTTGCAATGTGATATGGCAAGCCATAGGATACACCACAGTCTCGTTCGCTGCAAATGAAGGGGTGTGTCACAGAAGTCTGGAAGGCGGGTAAGCGACAACAAATGACACGAACGACATGATTCAGTCTTGTCCTTGCTGATAGAAAAAAAGTTGTGACGTTCAACTGTCTAGGTCCTACCAGGTGCATCTACTGCACCACCACCGAATCCAGCATGGTACACTAAAAGAATAATGGAGGAGGAGCGGCCAGATTTGGCCGGGAAAGATGGATCCTTTGAAATTACGGTGAGCTTGGCGTGACGGGTACTGAGATTCCTGCTCTTGTTTTGTCTCGGCACTCCATACAGAGCAGAACAGCAGGTTTCCAGGGTACCGAGTTGGATCTGCTCGATAGGCATGTCCGCGATCGTGCTGAACTTCAAATGGAAGACATCATAGTGAACGACGATAAGTGGGTTCATGACCACCTAGATCACTCGTAGTCTGTCGCTTGCTGTTGGAGTGGGCGTGTCTACGGACATAGCTGTGACCGTGGACGGTTGCCGCTTCGACAATGGCGTGCACTATAGAGCGTAGATGGCAGAAGAACATAAACAATGCACCGCCCACGCATTTAATGCCTTAGCCGGCAGCTGCCCACTGCCAACATGTTCACAACCATGTCCGTGGACACGCCCCCTCCAACCGCAAAATATGCAACCAAGGTTGAACACCATGCATTCAGCTATGACGAAGACGACCGGCGCTTTGTTCGTTACGAAATTCAGTTAAAATACAACGAGGGCAGATATTCAGCCATTTACATCGTCTCCAAGCAAGTTTGTAAAGAGTAAGTGTTCTGCTGGTCACAAGTAGCATGCGTCAAGTCACTCGG